TCATGATTGCATGGTTGTTTTATCCATTTTTAGCCAGAGTCTATGCTAATTATGAAAAGGTGTAAAATATCAATGTTAAGAGAACCCACAGATTTTTCAAATTGAAGAGCGTTTGTGATCTAATTTTTTAATATTAAAGTTACGTTAACGAGCTTTAATGTATGAGGAATTATTTAAAAAAAATGAGGAATTATTTATTAATTTTCATCTGGGTGGAAAAAACGCTTAAAAGTATTGATTTTTTTCAAAAAGTGAGAATTTTTTTTAAGTATTTAAAATAATTCTACAGTTGCAAGTTCAGTGAATTCTTTTTCAGCAATATTGTATGCATATAGGTTAAAATTAAAGCCTATCTTCGATTTTAAGTCATTCTTGATGAGTTTTTTTGTTTTTAATTTGAGAAACAACTTAGAAAAATCTTTAATCAGGAAGCGAAGGAAAATAAAATAAAAAGCCACAGTTCAAATGCTTTATACTGAAAGTAAAGCTATAATTTTAAATTATGACATCTATCCGTAATGAAGCTAGACATCTGCACCATCTTGAAGCAAAGAGTTATCTGGACTTTAAAATGAACAAATAATTTGAATATTTTTTAAAAAATCACCAATTTGCCAAGATTTTTCCACCTAGATGAAAATTATCAAAATAGACAAATTCAAATTTTCTTTTAAAATTTTTATGACCCTAGATAATGCAAGCGTTGAAGTAACTTTTTAAGTATCAAAGGAATTCGAGCATAAATGCTTTTCATTTACATAAAATCGTGGCTTTTTTTTTTCATATTGATGTTTTGCACAATTTTCAGATTTAGTTTAGAGGGAGCTCGCTAAAGGTAGGCTTAACAGTCTTGAATAACTGCTGCGCAACTTACAACAGCTCAGAAAATAACTTATTATTTACATAAAGATGTTCTTTGATGTAACGAGCCTTTGAAAAACAGCTTTAATATCATGGAATAATTCTTAATTTTTTTAAAACTTTTATGAGTCCAAACAAGGAAGCATTGGAATAGCTTTTCAAAAGTCGAAAAAACTCGTTCCCAATACGTTTTCTATTTTCACGTAATTGTGAATTTCATTCATACTGACATTTACGCCATTTTCATAATCAACATTGAGAGCGGCGGTTAAAAATGGGTGAAATTGAACCTCATAGCATCGAAAAACTGTTACTAGCTCATACTATTTTAAAAAATAGAACATTATTCGCTAAAACGATTTCATAGACCGGCAGAGTCAAAAATAACAGCCTTATTCGAAAACCTTAAATACGTATTATCTGAATATCTTAAATATTCTTCAGAGCTACAGATAGTGTAACTGTGGATGGTCATCTTGAACAAAGGTCAAAAGGGAAACCGAAGCAATCCGGAAAAACAAGAGAATAATAGGAAACGAGTGCTTTGTTTGCTCTGCGAAGCGTGGAACTTAGCAATGGAGAACTCGCTTTGTTTCGAACGTTCCAAGAGAGTGAATTCCCTAATCTCTTGTAACCTTCAGAACTCTCTGTCGCTTGGGAAGAGTGTTTTTTTTTTTTTAACGCTCCATAATCTCTTAATTAGTAACCCGTTAACGTATAATAGGACTTAATATTACGGAAATAAGGGGTTGGAATCTGGCATTGAATTGAACGAATGTAAAATGTATGGAAATTGTGAACAAAAAGAATCTGTAAAGAATAAAATTCAATTCTGTATCGTTACTGATTATGCAATATTGTGGAATGTATCGTATAAATGTTTAAAACCTACCATTAATGGCAGTAGATACATTTTGAGGAGGATAATTTTAAAAAAAAGACACATGAACATTAATATAGATCTCTAAGAATATGAACATTAATATAGATCTCTATTATTGTCTAAGTTAATCTACATAAATATTGTTTTTATTAAAAAAAAGCAATAAAAGGTTCAAAACTAAATAAATCTTTTTTTTTGAGGAATATTTGCAGTTCAAACGTATAAGTACACCTAGATTTAACGAAAAGAAGATCCGGCTGATTATCGTCCTAGGTTTTGCAATGCTCCAGACTAAATAAATCATAAGAATTTTCTTATCAGCTTTAAGTCGACTGCAATGAGCTCACCTACGATTATGTTAATTAGGTAATTAACAATCCAATGTTCTATTAGTCTAATTCATTTGAAATCATTGGCAATAGAATCATTGGTAAAGAAGGCTTATTGCAATGAGCTTAGTCATGAATGAAACTAACACCGAATCTTTATTCACGGCCAGAGGTCAAAGTTAATTACAATAAATTTAAGTAAAACCAGGCCGATTGATTAATTCTTAACACATATTTTTTATTAGTCTGAAAGCATATGGGCTGATTAAAAGGAGCCTGAAAATAACATGTTTGATAGAAAAGCTTTCTCAATTAGCCCGATGCATTTCAAAATGGATGGCGGCAATTGCAAAAAGCCCAATTTTCCAAGTAGCTGACGACAATAATAACATTCAAATGGGACGTAAATTTATTTACCTTATATTCTTAGAAAAATCGGTTAAACGTTAGACCATAATATCGGCAGTTTCAAAAGTTGACGAATTTACTGTTAATTGAATGAACTTGTGTAAAGAATTTCTATAACAAAAACATCATCTAATTCAAACTGTACTGGTATTACAAAATCTCAGTTTCGAAATTGCTGTTGTTGTTGTTGTTACTAATGCCAATAGTAGCCCACTATGCCAATAGTATGCAATAAGCCTGCTATGCCAATAGTATAAGCCTGCTATGGGAATCCCGGCGAATTTTAAGGCAGAAGGTGCGTTTCTCGCTTTTTCAGTGGCGCCATCTATGGCTAGGATTACGACTTCCTCCCGTTTTACTGAGAGAACCCATTCATCCACAAATTTAATTTTGACACGAACATGAGAACGATCCATCTCCCATGCAGTACATCCATAGGTATTGATTTTTATGGAAACTTGGAAGACTTTGTGATCCCGACAGATTTAATGTGCAACAGTGCACCAATAACAACAGTTTTGAAATTAATCTCTCTTTACTGGCCTAACTTTTGCTTTAGTAAAGCCATTCTTTGATGACCATACACTTGCTTCTGGTTTGTTCATATGTTTCCCCAAACAATCTTGCCATGTATAACTGTGTGCCTCCTTTTGATACAACTCGCTTCATTTTCGCTGAGGAATTGTTGCCAATTTTCTTTATGTTATAACTGCCAAATGAATTGAAGAGTGAACGGTCAAGAAGTTGCAATTCATGGGGCTTGTGACCAACATTTACCAGAAGAGAGAGAAGACCTTCGCAAGGATCAATTTCCAATTTCATAGTCCGGCTAAACGATGGAAAGATAAGAAAGATGACACTGCCTTCGGGATACGTAACTGCTCAGCGGGAAAAATATGAAAGAAGTCACTACATTCGGACAACTAAGGGGTCGAATTTCTCGTTTGTAGTAACCCGTGGGGAGGCCTTCTCTCTTATAAGAGGTGTTGGTGTGACCGGGGAATGAGACCGAGCCGTTTTCCTGAGCGTTTTCTAATGCTTTCAGGTTTTTTGGTGAGAGTACAATGTCTATTTAAAATAGAATAAGTTAGATCTTAATCTAAAAATTGATTTAGTTACTCCTTGTATGTTATTACAAAATCAAATACGGCGGTATTTTACTGTACAGCTCAAAAAAGTTGCAAAGAATGAGCACCAATGTGTTTCATATTTGCTCCTCTATAGTCCTAACTCAAGTCATTCCATTCCAAACAACATCTTTATTCTCCATTCATTTCAATCAAAACTGAGCAAGATCACTTGAACTTTTATGGTGACTGAAAGACTTTTCAAAACACTTCAGTTTAAACTGTTGTTGGTTGTCTCTAGAACTTACAACATAGAGAACCACTCACTCATTGCTTAGTTGTTGTTTTCTAAGGGAAGAAAAGACGAAGTAATATTTTATTTCTTGCTACCTCAATTTTTCCCCCAGGTTATTCGTTTTTTTTCTTCTTTTTTTTTAGTAACTGTACGTAAATAATTTGTAGAAGAATGGTCTTCTAATATAATTAAATGATATTATGATACACTGATATTCTAGTGTTTCTAAATTTCCCATAGAGTTAACATATGCATCTTTTAATAAAGTATGTCTTGTAACGAACCACAGTATCTTGTAATGAAGCTTATCATGTAACGAACTATAGCATCCTGTAATAAAGTTTATCTTGTAATAATATTATCTGTTAAGGAAGTCTATCGTGTTACGAGTATCCTGTAATGAAGTTATTTTGCAATTAATCGTAGTATCTTGTAAATCTTGTATTTTGTGATGTTTATCTTGTAATGAATCATAGTATCTCGTATCTTGTGAAGTTTATCTTGTCATGAATCATAATATCTTGTAATAAAGTTTATCTTGCAATGAACCATAGTATCTTGCAATAAAGTTTATCTTGTAACGAACCATAGTATCCTGTAATAAACTTTGTCTTGTAATGAAGTTTATCTTGTTACGAACCATAGTATCTTGTAATGAAGCTTATCTTGTAACGAACCATAGTATCTTGTAATAAAGTTTATCTTGTAATGAATCCTAGTATCGTGTAATGAACCATAATATCGTAAAATAAAATTTGTCTTATAATGAACCGTAGTATGTTATGATAAAGTTTAAGAAGTGTAATAATATGATCAAGCTTGGAGCCGTTTCGAACAAATAAGTCAACTTGAGCGCAGTTTTGCATATCCCAGCATATTTTCCCAAGACACTGCAGTTAGAATAAAAACAAGGTATTTTTTGACTTATTTAACAAGGCAGTCCGATGGGGGTCATGTTTAGAATAATAAAATTGATAAGAGTATTCAAAACATTAAAAAAAAATTGAAGAAAAATTTAAGTAAGTTTAATAAACCACAAAAATAATGAACAAAAAATGTCTAGTCAGAAGAGGAGACGAAAAAAATAAAATGGTTTCTCTCTGATGTGATGCATTCGGTCACGCTACGTCAGAAATTCAAGCATTTCTCTTTTATTCGATCCCACTATAAAAGGTCCAGTCACCGTCCACTCTTTCATCTCACAGAAAGGATAACTTCATCAGCAAATCTTTTTCCCAAAACGCTAAAGGATGATTAGATTGCAAAAATTTTGTGTGGTAAGTAAAAATTAGTTGGTTTTTTTTAAATTTATTAAAGCATTTTTGTTAATTTTATAATATTTGGAAATATTTTTTAAAAAAAATTACACTTTTTATTTATAAAATATTACAGTAATTAAAATTATAAAACATGTGAATTATTTTTAATCACAATAGACAGTAATTAATCCTTTAATAGTATAAAAACACTTAAGTATTAATTCATTTAATGTATTTGTTGTTAGAATTCGAAAAATATAGTTGATTGTGTTTATTCGCAACTTATTGCAGTTCTAATCATGATAGCGCTCGTGATTAGCTTTATGATGTTTTGAATAATTAGAAATGATTTCCTTTAAAAATTTTCCAACAATATGCGGGAATCTTTACTGAAAGTACTAAAGACGATTATACTGCCGAAATTTTAATTAATAAGTAATTTTAGATCGTTTTTAATCAACTAACATTCGATAGATTTGAATACAAATTAATTTGATTTCTGAAATACAGTTAAATATTTGAATATTAATCTTAAATAGCGATAAATACTCTTCCAATAATAATAAGTAAAGACTTAAGTGATTAAAAGAATTATATCATAACTTATACATCTTTTCAGCATTAAAAGTTTTTAGAAAAAAATTTCAAAAATTCATCTTAAGTTCTCATTTTTAGGAGGTCATGAGTACTTCATGTATTTTTTTTTTTTTTTTTTTTTTTTTTTTTTTTTTNAATTTTTTTTTTTTTTTTTTTTTTGAAAATCTTCTTCGAAAACATTGGCTCATTTAAAAAGAAAGTATTTTTATTCAAAAGATTTTCCAAAAAGTAATTAAACTAGCTATTTACTACTCTAAATCATACATTTGATAAAAAGAAATAAAGGCTAAATTCATTACTATATTCATTACTATATTCGTTAAATCTATTTCCATCGAAATTCATTCATACATTTAAATTATTCGAAGCATAAGTTATCAATTTTATGTTGCAATAAAAATTTATAATTCACAACACTTTAAATAACCACACACTTAAATGTAAAAACAGTAATTGTGAAAGATTTAGTATTTTAAAATGTAGATATTAAGATAATTATAAAAGATTTAGATATTAATTTTTTCTGGCAAATGTATACTAAATAATAACTAGTGGCATTTTTCGACCAGCTTGGATACCTTTCAAAATTATCTTGTACGACATACAGACTTCTTTTTGAAATATTGGTATAAAATTTTTAAAAAATTGCTTATTTATTTTATTACGTATGAAAACATAGGAAACTAGAAAAAAATATTTATATTAATACTTTTTTTAAATGGCTGTTTTTAGGTAAAACTAAGGCATTTTTTTTGCATACATGCTAACACTGTAAAAATTATCGCCTAAAACAAAAAGTCCTTAGATGATTTTATTTAGAATACTATCAGCTATGTTTGGAACTATTATTAAGTGCATATACTGAACTGAGTTAGGAATCAATGAAGTTAAAAAAACAAATTTTTAAAAATTTCCGCATTTTATTTTCGAAAAAACATGCATAAAAAATGAAATTCTAGTTCTTAGTCTGTAGTTTAAAACATGTGTACTATAATCATAAACACTCGTAAAAAATTGTAGACAATTATTTTAAATACAACCATGAGTAATCGTGTTTAAGGTAGGATAAAATGTGAAAATATCTGATTTTGAGATAAGCGCATTCAAAGGCCTAAAATCACTAGTCTATCCACTGTTATCACCTTACACAAAAAACTGTTATATCTTAGTAAATAATTTAAATATAAACAAAAGAAAAAGTATTATGACAAGAATTCTAATTTGTAACATTTCGATAATTTTGTCCAAAATCATGTTTTTGCACTAGTCAGATACTTTAAATGATAACCAAATCGAAAGTATAACACAACTGTATTTAAATATTCTAATGTTTCAACCCTTTCTTCAATCCTAATACCTTAATTAGTTTTAAATAATATATTAACAAAATACTTTTCACCCTCTAGTTGTTTCCCACGCGAAATTACTTTTTTTTAACTAAGAGATGTTCATGACATTATTAAAGTTCTTCATGCATTAAATTTTAATAATAACATAAACTCAGTCTGACAGCCATTTAATCACACAAACAGCATTGGATTGGCATAGTAAGCGGCAGAAGTATTAAAATCTCTATGAGTAGATAAGATAGAAAACTCATCCTAATACTCCATTACGCGCTGTACTTCATCACGCACCTCTCAAGCCATAAGTATAATATACATGCTCTGTCTTATAATAGGCACCAATAATTGGTATAGCAGTACGCGACACGATAGCACCATTTATGTTTAAAATTTCTGCGGTCATTTTAGAAAGGATCAGAAATAAATCTAAAGAATTACTTCCTAACAAAGTTTTTATTTCCTTATTAGGGGGCTAAGTCCCCTGTTTACTGACACTCACCAAACCCGATGATTACTCAGCAATAATTACTGTTTCTTGGCTTAAAACAGTTGAAATTATTCAACTAAAAATATATGAACACTTGTGCCTCCACGTCCAAATATTTCCTTTATGATACTATTAATACTATACTATTAAGTTATACTATACTATACTATATTATAATACTATTAAGATCTATTAGTGAACGTAAACCATTGTTCTAAAGTAATCATTTAATTGTCATCATGGCTATATGTAATCAAATAATATTTAAAATTAAAAGTTTATTGTCTTAACAAATTTGGTGAGTTCACAATTGTAATTTAATATTTTTGTTTACCAAACGGACGAATGTATATTTTATTACCATAATTTTGACAGTTAATATTGATTTGTAAATATCTTTTAGAAAATAAAAACCGAATTCAATTTAATGAAACAATCGCTATTTTTCTTCTTAATAGATATAAAAAGTACACTTCTAAAGCAGTCACTTATGAAGGTTTTTTTTTGTTACTTCATTAGAATTTTAAATATAAATTAATATTTATAAATCCAAATAGTTGCAGATAATTAAAATATTTAAAATGGTTGTGTATAATAACAATTGAGGTAAGCCTATTTTTTTCTCACTTAGCTAGCGTTTAAAATCTTCCCCCCCAAAATCTATCTCATAAATTTATTTAAATTGTTTATAAATTATGGTGGTTAAATTCAGTACAATTTCTTTTTAAATAAAGTACAATGAGAAAGTGCAAGATTTGCTACTACTTTATACTAATAATATTATTAAAAAATTATGGTAAATATCAATGTCTCTTCACTTGTTTTACTCGTGTTATGGTCTTAGTCACTACTTTTTAAACTCAGATAACCAGTGAATTACTCTTTTCACAGCAATTTATCAATGTTATTCTTCAAATGTAATTTTTTTCAAATTAAAAAAAGTTATGTCCATATCAGTTTGAGATGTATTTAAAGCATCTATTTATTAAGAATCAGTAAGGGAGAAGTAGTAGTTCTTGTGGAGAATTTTTATAAATTCTATCAGATATTGTATTTTTTTAAAATTAAAATTTGAAAGTTTGTCTTTATTTTGAATAAAACTTAAGCTATTACTCCTTAAGAATCAGTAGGCTTCATTGACTATAAAGATAAAATCAAGAATCAAAAGACTTCATTGGCTTCAAAAGTACGCAGATGGAAATCAAAGTCGACATGTTTCGAGCTCTCAAAAACAAGTACTCACTCTCAAGACATGCCAGATGTAAATGAAAAGAAACTGCTTTGAAGTTTGCTTTTTTTTTCGAATGGCAGGCACTGAACTTTATTCGTTTCGCCTTAGAAGATGCCAGAGTTGTTACTCATTTCGCGTTACCCAGTGGTCACCTGTGAACCAAAGTCACGGAGGCGAGTAACATTGCCCACGCCACGCTGCCACAAACCCGTTCATAGGGTGGGCCACATTCACTCATCACACACAACAGAGGACAACACAAGAGAGATAAACATTCATGCCCAGAGCGGGATTCGAATCCGCGGCCATTGGCTTCGCAGTCAGGCGCGCTAACCGCTCGGCAACCTGGCCGGCGTGATTTGAAGTATGAAACGTAAAGTTACCAACGAAAAATGGAAAATAAAGAGGAGAAACAAAACTAGAAAAAACCGCTGCAGCAGAGAGTGAAACAGAAACAAAGAGAAAAAAAACTCTGCGACCAAAAGAAGACAATCAGGGTAAAGGCATTTTATGCACTATACAGAGAGGGTGGAACTAATGTCGTTAACAAGAGAATCGGCATTCATATGAATGAAATAAGATTCCAGGACATCAAGATGAGCTGATATGACTGTGATGGAAATAATTTTGGCGTTGTCGAAATTGAAATTCTGTCCAAGATTCCAACAATGTGCAGCAGTAGATGATTTATTGTACTCCTGATCTATTGCGATCATAAATCTAAATTTTAAATCGAGTCTGGTTTGTTCGATGCATACCCAAAGTCGCATTGGCAAGGTGTGTGGTAAATGCAGCAGAAATTTTCAAAACTAGTAGGATATATAAAAAACTTAAATTTAAATTTGTTAACAGTCCTAAAAATGACTCTCCGTTTTGCTTTTGCTTTTGCGCTTATTTTTTCTCACAATCGAAACATGTTGACTTTTATTTCCATCTGTATATTTTTTAATCAACTTAAGTCTTAGAATAAGTTATATCTTACCGCTTCTGTTTCTTGGGATTATTCATTAAACATTAAAGTTAATTTAAATGTTTTTCATTATTATTCTTCCTTCAAAAAATATTTCTTTTTGTCCTTCGAGTGATCCAAAACCAATTATTTAATCTATTGTTATGAACTTATTTATAACAAAAGCACATAAGATCAAAATGATATTATTTTTAGTCTAAAAATACGGTACTAAGAAGTGTTGTAATTAATGATATTAATTAATGATAAAATTTTATTATTTATTTTATTAATTTTAATTAATGATAAAATTTTATTTACCCATAAGTGTCTACTTCACTTAGTTTAATTGGTTATTTTTCTTGAATAATTATCTGCGTTTTCATCCTAAGTTAAGCATCTGCGATA